ATATCCCGCAGACATTCGAGATGTCGAGAGGCGCCCACCAGTCCTTTGACATGAGTAGGGGCGTGACCCAGCAGTTCGACATGTCAAGGGACGTGAACCAGTCGTTCGACATGCAAAGAGGTGCCACCCACAATTACGAGATGCCAAGAGGACCTCAGGTTTACGAAATGCCAAGAGGGGCACAGGCCTTCGAGATGCCCCGAGGAACGACCCAGCCTTACGAGATGACGAGGGCGGTACAGCAGCCGATGGAGATGGGACGAGCGGGCATGGGCGCGGGGCATCCCTACGAGTACGGCAAGGAATACCACCCATGCACCGAAGTCCAGCATAGCGGGCCTCTCAAAAATAACCACCAGTCTTTGCACGATGCCCAACAAGAGATGGAAGTGCCCATGGAAATGCCCAAAACGGCTCCACAGTCCACAGCCAAATCGAAAGGCGCCCAGAAGGCGAGCAATCACCCCTTCGAATTTGCAAAGGGTTACGCGCAGCAGCTGGAAGTAGCCAAGAAGGCCGCTCAGACGGCGATCCAGGCGAAGTTGGAGGCTAAGAAGGCCGAGAAGGCAAAGCAGGAAGCAGAGCAGGCCGAGAGGGCGAAGCGAGAGGCCGAAGAAGCTGAGAACGCGAGACGCCAGGCTGAGGAGGAAGAGAAATCGAAAGCTGTCGCCCAGCCGTCGGAAATCCTGAAACTGTATGCGCAGCAGCTGGAGATGGTGAAGAAGGTGTCGCAGTCGTCCGAAATTGCGAAGATGTACGCGAGGCAGCTGGAGACGGCGAGAACCACCTCCAAAACCAGAGAGAAAAGTAGCAAAGGTTCCTCGTACTCTTCGGGAAGGATTCGGAGGGAGAGAGCGAAGGCGCGGACGCCAGACAAGAATAATGGCTCCTACAATTCGGGATCGATAGAGAGAGAGAGAAAATCGCCGTCGTGCAAAACCGCGCCCGAGAAGCCAGAGGGCATGGAGACAGACACGAGCGACGAGAAACAATCGGAGGAAGCTGAGGGCGACCCTCCGCCGTTCGAGATGGCCAAGTACCTCGCGCAGCTGTCGAAGATGAAGAAGGGAGGGGATCCGCCGCCAGAAATGGCCAAGGAGGACTCGCTCGAAAGCGAAGACGGGCAGAGCGACTCGCAGCAGGACGATGCGAGGCTGAGTCACAAGTCCCCCTCTCCGACGGACGCGTCAAAGTCCACGGGGCTTCCATTCCCGTTTGAGTTAATGAAGAACCTGGGGCTTCCTCTCGGGGTCGGGTTGCCAGGGGTGGGCAGCGCGAGAACGAAACGCGATCGACAGGAGTTAACCATAGCCAATAAAGCCAAGTTGATAGAGCAGGTGGAATCCCGAGGCGCCAAAAAGAAAGCGGATATTGCGCGAGAGTGGGGTCTGAGGCCGTCGACGCTCTCCACGATAATGAAAAATAAAGACCGAATCCTAACACAGTACAAATCTCAGAGGTACGCCGCAGGAAGGCGGAGAATGCGGACCGCTGCCTATCCCGACGTCGAAGAGGCTCTGCTCACTTGGTTCAGGTACGCCAGGGCTGCGAACATCCCGATCACAGGACCCATTTTGCAGGGGATGGGGGTCACGCTGGCGCAGGAGCTAGGCCACCCGGAGTTCTCTTGTAGTGTAGGGTGGTTGGATCGCTTCAAGGCGCGCCACGGGCTGACATTTAATCCCAAGAACAGCCAGGATTCCGGAGCAGGGACGTTCAATGAACCAGAAGACCGAGTGCCAAGTCCAGTGCCAGCAGTGCCCGCAGAAGAGGATTCTAGACCCGAGAACCCAGACTCGTGGCACCTTCCTTCGATGCCAGCTGTTGGCACCACTAGCACGGTGTCCGGAGAGGGCGCCTCAAATTCGTGGCTTCCATCAAATGAAACTTCAACCCCTAATGCTACCTCGGCCACAGAATCACTGGATCAGCTTAACAAGTGGTTTCCCTCAACGCTTTCCGATGAGCAAGAAGACGACGAGGAGATGGGCGCAGGGGTCGGCGAAGACACCGCGGACGCCTGGCTGCGCGCGACGATACCTGCTCTGCTGAGAGAGTACAAACCCCGCGACATCTTCAGCGCCAGCGAAGCGGCCCTGTTCTACAACCTCCTGCCCGACAGATCCCTGGTGCTGAAGGGCGAGGAGGGCCACAAGTGGACGTGGATGAAGGAGAGGCTGACGCTGATGGTGGCGGCGAACATGGACGGCAGCGAAAAGCTTCCTCTCCAGGTGATCGGCCAGATGAAGGACCCCAAGTCAATATACGAGATCGAAGCCCTTCCGATGCCGTACGAGGCGAACGAGTCGGCCATGATGACTTCCGCCATTTTCGAGGTCTGGGTGAGGCGACTCGAGGAGAGGTATCGAAGGCAAAATAGAAATATTATCATAATACTCGATTCGTGTCCCGCGCATCCGAATATAAACAATCTCACGAACGTTAAACTTACTTTCCTTCCGCAAGACACCACGTCGAGATTGCAGCCCGTCGAGCAAGG